AATATCCATGGTCAAATTCCTCGTGAAAGAAAGTGTCTTCAAAGGTATCTGAGGTGAGTTGACAGAGGCTAGAGAACGTGATGTTGAAGGAGAGTAACTTTGGTTGTAAATATATCGAGCTGTTGTGGAGCTTGCCCATTGGTGGAGAAGTGTCTGCGAATAGTCGGGGAGTCAGGCGGAATCTCCTTCAGTACTGACATAGATGCTTCTGTCCATGTCTGGTGGCTTGGAAATATTGAGTAGTGAAGAGTCACAAGATGGAAGTGGTATGGAAGGAGATATGAACTTGAGTAGTTGAGGAGAAGCAAAAAGAGTCGCGAATTCGAAGAGGTCATTAATGGTGATCTAAACGAAATGACGACATGTGAGACAAGGTTATTGAGTACTCGCATGGACACCTAAGACTTGGCCTCAGATGTCGATTGTCCATCTTCAAACACCAGGCGTTTTCGAAAAGACGGTGAATTCGAGCACCGAAATCAAGGGAAAGTTGTGCTCAAAAAGAAGGATTGTGACAAGCTGACATCTTGCTTCTAAAGCATGGAATCTTAGCAACAACTGGATGAATGGATGTGAAGAGTTTAGGAATTGTAGATTCCAACTATATTTGTCGTTTCCGACTGTGTAGCAATTTGCATTTATTCTCCTCAGGTTGCAATATATGTACCTATACTTACCTCAATGGGAGTGACATTTGACCTTGTTGTACATATTCACATTAATCATAGGAAACTAGCTGCGTGCCGAAACTACTCCCATGGTCCCACTGCATCTTGGTCTACATACCACTAATTAACACATCCATGGTGTTTAAAAGTATGCTCGGTGAATGGAAACGATGGCAATTTGACACTTTGGTGGACATCGGTCCCCATTCCTCCATTTCGACCTCCACTTCTTCCATGATGCCTTCGTAGGCACCCGAAAGTGACTTTATCCTGTCTTCAGACGCCAAAACCGACTGGTCTGCTCTCCCCACACCATTAGTTTTCCCACAAAATGAGAGGTGCCAGTATATTGAGGAGAATAGACTGCAAGAATCCTCAACACTAGGTGCTATCAACATCCTTCCTCTCACCGTGTGACGTGGCTCACATCTTATTCATCATCTACAACTCAGTATATGAACCCAGGTGCAAATAGAATGACTAACTGTTTCCTCGAAGATTTGATGAACAAACTTAAAAGTCCCTGACTATTGTGAAGCTTAGTTACAAGCACGACGATGTTAGAAGCACCGATTTTGATGCTGCGATCCAATTGACGGCTATAAATTTGAAGGCTATACTGGTTTAATCATAGAGAGGGTGAGGTCAGTGTTGTGGTGGCTCATTCCTCTTCCCTTTACCCACTACCCACTTCCCAACTCCCACTTCTCACTTTCCACTTATTCTCTGCAACTCTCTCGTGGCCAGCACTGTTAGTGGTTCGACCTACTTTTGCATTCTCAGTTGCAAATTGTCAGCTATTATAAGTGTATGCATGGGAGAAGGAATGAGAGATGAAGAGGCAGAAACGGAAACAAAGAAGTGGGCAGCCACTGGGGAGTATTGGAAATGGACGAACTTAGTGAGATATGTTGGATGAGCGAATGTGCGTTCTTCCCTCGTTGGTAGTTGGAGTTGTGATAAGTGTCAGTGGGCACAACACACGGAGGCATTAAACAAGGGAATAATCAACGATCGATCATCATAGTATATTCCCAAGGCAGCTGGAAGGGAGACAATATGTGTTGGAATGACAGAGTGGAGTTTGAAGAAAGCCTACGTGATTTGGAAGTGTACAAATTAGATGATTCTGATTTGGCACCTCACTCACACCCCATCCACCTCTCAACGCGAAAATAGTGAATGAGCATGAGGTCAGTCACTTTAATGAGTCTCCTTTTTCGCCTTTATTCCCACACCTAATCATTCGGAACTATCAAGGCTTTTTCACCCTCTCTCTCTATTGGGGCTCGGGGTTCTACAATTCTCAATCAATGTGCAACGAAGGCACACAAATCTGCTCCTCCACCTTACTCTCCTATCTCCGAATGAGAGCCACGCTAAGGGGGTCGTGAGCTCAGTCGTGAACGAAAGAGAGAATGACGAAGCATTGCTCAACCAGTTTGCATCGAAACGTTTAACTTTGTTCATCACACGCCACACCATTTAGGATTGCTTACAAAAATGCTACAAGAAACCATTGGCACTTCTCGCATTCGATTTATGCACCTTAAACATCTTCCCTATTAGTCGGTTTCTTCGATTACTTTTCCTACTGTCGTCAGTCTCCACATTCCTCACCCCCCCNCCCCCCCTCCCCCCACCCTCCATCTTACTTCTGGAAACGGGTGAGTTTCTCCTGTAGTTCTTAGTTCAAGCCAAATACCTAGTGAGAAGTTGTTTCACCGACACGTTTGAGTCATTGCACACTGATATCGATGCCAATAAATTGCGTCTGTTTAAATCACCTTCTTGGTAGAAAGCACACAACTCAAACTTTCCGATCAACACTGTCTTACTACAAACTAGAGCAACAGGAACTTGACACTCAAGGCACATGGTAATCATGTTCAAATTGTTAATATAAAGTTGATTTCATCACTGAGACGAGAGCAAATCGAGAGTTGTGCTTCCTACAGTTGCCGTCTCAATTACGTCGACTCAAATTCCTCAACATCTCAATATGCAGAGCTTATGGCAACCAGATTTTTACTAATGAAATGGTGAAAGAAGGGCGTATTTAATGGATAGTAAGGCATTTGACTAATTATAATTGAACAAAAGCAAAACGTAGTTCAGAAAAGGAAAAAAAATCAATAGACATCGGTTAAAGAATAATTTATTTGAGCTAAAAGCTAATCTAATAGGTTAAAAGAAACAGAGATTATATTTTACCCCTAATAGCGTTTCTAATCAACGAACAACAATGGCTTTTAATTTTCTGTTTCATGTTTTCCACCTGAATTTATTGATTATTCCATTTCTGATTCATCTAAGCATTTTTCAATGCATTTTTTCATTTTCGGGTAGAATTTCTTGGCAATTTTCCAGAAGCAATCCTTCACATCAGAGTCGGGATCCTCCCCACCAGGTTCATCTGGATTCTCCTCATCAGTGTCACCAGGTTTCTCTTCACCAGGTTCATCTGGATTCTCCTCATCAGTGTCACCAGGTTTCTCTTCACCAGGTTCATCTGGATTCTCCTCATCAGTGTCACCAGGTTCATCTGGATTCTCCTCATCAGTGTCACCAGGTTTCTCCTCACCAGGTTCATCTGGATTCTC